AGAAGAGCAATGCCAGAACCTCACAATGCCTCTTAAAGTGTCTGCTCAGTCATGGCATATGTCATTGCCACTCACATTCGATTGGCCAAAGCAAGTCACGTGGCCAAACCCGTTATCAGTGGGCAGGGAAGGAAGTACTCCCCTCCCACAGGAAGCATGGCAAGCCATATGGCATCAGGTGGGGATGTGCCATCCTCTTTTCAGGGAGGACAGTGAATAATTGGGAACAATAACCTATCACAACCCACCTGCCAACTTCTAGAAGCTATAGTTGTCATTTTGTATCGTGAAGGTGGAAAAACTTTACATCTTCCTTTATAGCTATCATTAAGCAGTCTTCAGTGCCTTGTCTGTGGTTGCTTTTAAAAGCCGAAAACCACTGAGCAGCATGTATATTATTATGACTAAGCAAATATTCTTTGCTGCAGAGTCAAAGACGTGCTAAGAGCCCATATTGTGCACCACTGTTCCAATGGCACAGACCCTGTGCACTTCGAAGAGCCTTTTTTATATATTCCATCATTTGCTCCATATCAGGCCACGTTTTCATTCGCTTCATATTTGAGCTATGCCCTTCATGAAAAATTTCTGGTCTCCCTGAAGTTGCTGATTACCTCTCTTTTTTTATTGTTGGTGGAAGAAACATGTGCTTTCTACACTGTATCCCTGACATCCTCCAAATTCTTTCTCATTCCATTTGTTGTTGGGAATACTTTTCTTCTTCTTTTGTGAAGTCTGCTGCCCTTCTGATCTAATTGGGCATTTTGCTTCATTTTTGGATCTTAATGCTTTTACATCGCCTTTTGTCTTTACCGCTGTTACTAATTGCCTTCTGTTTTTCAGCCAAGGTTTAATTTCTGGCAGTCCCAATAATACTCTTAGCTCTATGGAATGTCCCCTTCTCACACCATTCTTGGAAAACTCTTTCCTGGGGTCTTCATCCTCCCACTCTAAAGAGGACTGCCCGTTCTCAGGCCTGCTGAAAAGTTTTATCCTCAATTTTCATGGCTGCCCTGAATTGGACCCCTTGTTTCCTGGATCTCGTATCTTCTCTCTTGGTTTACTCTCTGGCTTTACTGAAATACATACTTAAATAACTTCTTTCAAAATGTTGAAGAGGATGTAAACTTCCTTGGTCCTTGCATCCTCAGGACCACCACACTTACATATAAAATAAAGGCATTGGACCGGATGATCTCTAATGCCTATTCCAGGAGTATAATTCTAGTCAATATTCATTCATATATAGCATACTATATCAACGAGAAATTTAAAATGGTTGCTGCTCTCAAGGAACTTACATCTCCAGAGGCAAAAAATAAACTCTTGAAAAACAATTTAAAAAGTCAGCACTTGATGTCACAAGATAGGGCAATATTCATCATCAGTTTGAGCCTCGGGGCTGGAGGAAAGACAGAGAGAAGCTGAGCCAGCCTGTGGGGCTCTTACCAGGGAAGCAGACTTCTGCTGGGTGTCAAAGAGTAGGCAGTATATTAGAGATAGATTAAATATCTATGAGTATCCACCAGTAGATTTATGGCCAACGTTAGTCTGAAGGTATGGTTAACGGTCAAGGGAAGCTCTCCCCCACCACTTCCCTGTCACCATCTGAGTTATCAACATTTTCGTTTCACCAAGTCAGTCAATAGCGATAAAATTTTTAAACGTAAAAGCATAACTTTGTCTGTAACCAACAGACAAACTCTCTGTCCATTCTGGGACATAACAATGAACTTTCATTACACACATGAATATTTATGTGTAAACTTATAAGTGCCCTATTTTTTGGACTATGAAGTTACTGACAGCAGTCTGTATCAGTAGTGTGTCACTGAATAAGACGAGGTGGAGGGGCACTCTCTTTACCAGCATCCATGTTTTTAAAGATTTATTTATTTGTTTGTTTGTTTGAGAGAGTGAGTGTGCATGTGCACGAGCAGGAGGGAGGGGGAGAGGGAGAGAGAAGTCCATCTCACGACCCTGAGATCATGACCTGAGCCAAGAAAACCAAGAGTCGAATGCTTAACTGACTGAGCCACCCAGGCGCCCCTACCGTCATCTGTTTTTATCTGTTTTGTATTGTTCCAATGAGGAATCAGAGTGACCATAAATCATAAATCCCAGGAGAGGAAACATCCCTCTATGGAGGGACAGCACTGTCACTTACATCGACAAGGCCCCAGGGACTGTTAAGGACTGGGCTTCTCATGCTGGATGAACATGAGACCCCCGCATCAGAGGAAAAACATGCCTTCATCCAGCCCCCCACCCCCTCCCCTCTGTCCCATTCGATTTGCCAATGAGAAGACTTGCAGAAAAGGAAGTTTCCAGAAAAAAAGAAACGATCTTTGGGCCAAAGGTCTGACCAGTCTCCAAAGAGTGGGAGTGAAGTGAGGACAAGCAAGGGCTTGGAGCCCAGTGGCTGATTTCCTGGGCAGGGTCTCACCTCCTACAACACCTCTCAGAGGCTTTCTCTGATCCCCACTTCCACCTAGGAAGAATTAACTGTGCTCAAACGCTCTGGTCTGGCTGCCATGACAGCATTTATCAAATTCAAACAAAGTTTGCATCCATTTTCCCCAAGAGTCTATGACACCTCGACCGACTTCATTGTCATGCCCCAGTGCCCGGTATGTAGCAAGTTGCCCTATGTTGGTTGAATGAGTGAGAGCAAATGCATTGGAAAAAAGCTGCATTTCATAAAAGGGCAGAGCCCGACATCAATAGTCAATTTTCACGGGAGCTTCAGACAGGCCGGAAGGACCTAGAGGAGGGGACCTAGGCCAAGGACATGATTTCCAGGTGATGGGGCCACTCACACCGCTCACGGAGGACAAAAAAACAAAAACAAAACAAACAACGCCTGCGAGTTTTGCATGGCCTGCGTTGTCACCCCGGGGCTCCACTGAAGGTTGAGGGGAACAGAGAGATCCACAAGGACTCAAAGCCAAGGTCCCGAAGAAGCACCCTGCACAGCCAGAGGTGGGGGCAGTGCTCAGCTCTTCAGAAGGGCCAAGGGCAAGAGGAACCCACCCTCCCCGGAGCACTGCCTCTGCGCCCAAGCCCTGAGCTTTCTAGAATTTCATTCTGTCCTCTCCACAGCCCAGAGTGACAGGCATCCTTGCCTTACAGGTGAGAAACACCACCCAGGATCAGGAGCTCCTCCTTGGGTGTGCAGAAGGGCAGGGGCCTGCGTACCCAGCAAACTGGACAATGACAAGCAAAACAAAACGAAAACCATGCCTGGATTTGGTCCTTGAAAATTCAGAAACCTGTACACCCTTGGCTCACCTGTTTTATTAACTTTTGCAGTTTGCTAATTCTCCCTTTATTTTCCTCTGGCTTCTCAGAAAGCTTTCTTAGAAAAATCCCACAGGATTCCGATCTAACAAAGGGAGGTGCAAGAGGGAAGAAAGAGCTGGATGCCCAGGGCAGGGGCATAACCCAGGGTGGGGAGGCCTGCACAGGTACACAGGTGGGCACAGCTGCGGCCTCCTGCAGGTGGTCCGCCGCGGGAGTAGATTCCCTCACCCAGCAGCAGCTTGGGGCAGCCCCTCCCAAGGGGGAAGCAGAATGCATTGGTTTCTTCAAAAGACCATACAGGGTGCCATTTGCTTCACCACTTTTTAAAAAAAAAGTGTAATGAAGACCCATCCCGGCTCTCGATCTTCGCGTCCCCGAGAGATGGCTAGGCCGTGCGTTTGTACTCCAGCAGGTGGGCATTTCTGACACAAATGAACAACGGCTAGCTGTCCCCGCGGCGTCCAAGTGTGCCGACAGCCGGCCTGGCGACACAGCCCCGGGGGCAGGCTGCTGGACGCGGCACAGAGCGGGAAGCATGGCTGCCGCCCACCCAACTTCCTGCTCAGACAGACCTGGGGCCCCGGCGCCCCGCAGCCGCCCAGGGAGGGCACAAGCACAAGCAAGCACCGAGGGGAAAGTGAACGCGTCCTGCGTGGATGGGTGTGACCTCCGCTTCCACCGCCATGGCACGGGCCCCGGGGAGCTGGCTAAGCGCGAGGCCGTGAGAAAGGCCAAAGTAAAACAGCAAACGGCTTCCAGCTGACCTGTTCTTGGGAACTTGGAGCCATGCGCTGGCAACTGGCTGGCGCAGGGGCAGGCTCTCTCCTGGGGAGGGCACAAAGTGCCTGCCGCTCCAGTCCCGCACGCATTTGGGGGGGGCGGGGGGCCTCCCGGCAACAACAGCCGGTGCCAAGCAGGCGAGCCGGGAGTTGGGGGAGGGCACGCAGACAGAGATCTGGGGTAGGGTCAGGAGGGGGAGGGTCAGGGAAACTTGGGACGCTGGGACCATCAGGGCCCCCTCCAGGCAGCCAGAGTCCCACACAGAATTACATTGGCGCGCTCCCCACTTTCTCAGGAACGGAAGAGACGGGAGGGAGCAAACCCACACAGGCACTGAAACTAATGAGACCTCCCCCCGTCCCCCTCCCGCACCCGAGCCCTGAGGGTGCTGGCGGAATCGCGGACACCCCAGAAGGAGGCAGAGGACACTCGCCCCCGCACGGTCCGCACCCCGCGAAGGCAGGCGGGCTCGCGCGGAGTCGCCGAAGCCCGGCTCGGCCGACTTCTCTACTGCCCGGGAGCTCGTTTGCCGCCGCGCTCCCCCGGCCCGGGCCCGCGCCCCTCGAAGGAAGGGGCTCGCTGGAGGGCGCGCGAGGCGGCGACGAGGGGCAGGATTTCGGGGTGTCTGGAGCGGAGCCTCGTGGGGGCCGGAGGGAGCCGTCCGCGCCGCCGCCCGCCGGCCCCTCCCGGGTCCCCCGCAAAGTTCCGGCTTTGGGGGCCGGACCACCGAGCTCACAGGTGGGAGGAGGTGAAGGGCGGGTCACAGTGCCCCGCGCCGCGCCTCCCCCGGGGCGCCCACTCCGCGCGCCTCGGCCACCCGCCCGGGGGCGCTGGGAGCGCGGGTGCTACCCGAGAGCGTCCCCCGTGCCCTCCGCGGCGGGGTCCGGGGCGCAGGGGTTGCGACCGCCGCGTCTTACCCAATCCTGGCACGAAGGTGTTGAGGAAGAGGCAGATGACGGCCACCGGGAAGGGCATGTAGGGGATGGCGGCGCGCAGGGGGCCCTTCTTCTCGCGGACCTGCACCACCACCCCGCTGGACGAGGACGCGGCGCGGGGGTCCGCCGCCGCCGCCGCCGCCGCCGCCGCCGCCGCCGCCGCCGCCGTCTCGGCGTCTTTGTGCGAAGGCTCCATGGCGGGGCGCGCGCAGGGGCGGGTGGCGGCGGCTCGCTCCGCGCGGAGCTCAGGCGGCCAGCGTGCTCCGGCGCCGCGCGGCTCGCGGAGAAGCCCGCACTCCCGCGTCCCCACGCGCCCGGCCCTCTGCAGCGGCGCTGCGCCGCGCCCACACCCCGGTGCGGGGCGGAGGGGGCGGTGCGACACTCGGCGACGGCGCTCCGACGCCCCTCCCCGCTGGACCCCTTCCCCGCCCTTCTCCCCGCCCCCCCCCCCCCAAATGCCACTTACGGATCCGGGCGGAGGCAGGAAAGTAGAAGAGAAACGCGGAGGGAGCCCGCGCGGTTCATGTCCTGGGAGGGATGGACGCACCTCGCCTCCCCGGAACAGGTGAGCCGGGCGCTAGCCTCGGCTCGGGACACCGCGAACGGGGCTGGTGTGCTCGGCCGGCCCTGTCGCGAAAGCCGGGAGCTGAGTCCTTTCATCTGGAGGAAGCACACAACGCTGGGCGGATTGAGGCCAGGGGCGCACAGCGCCCGGTGCCTAGTAGGCCTTCAACGCATTCCCAAATCATTGGATTTCGTTCCAGTCGGTAATAGAGCTGAAAGCAGGAAACGAGGCTTTTCAAACAGGTTCAAAAGACTGGTTGAACGATGCTGGAAACCAACCCCTGAACTGTCCTGGAGGCGAACCTAGCCTTTTGTGCTCGACGTGGTAGTTCAAAAGCCAGCGAGGACACAGCGCCGTCTCGTGCCGACAACGTGACAGTTAGTAGAAGCGAGAGCGTTCGGCTGCAGTGTCAAGCCGGCGGCTGGAGGCCCCACACTGAATTAGGGTTTGGGGAGAATTTTTTTTTAAGTAGGCTCCCTGCCCAGCATTGGAGCCCAACGCGGGCTCCAGCTCGGACCCTGAGATCAAGACCCGCTCCGAGATCAAGGGTCCGAGGCTTATCCCACTGAGCCACCCAGGCGCCCCTGAATTAGGGTTTTTGAATAATGCTGCCCTCACCTCCACACCTGGAAAAAGTGATCAGATGAAAGCAACCGCCTCCTACCTTAGGGAGATGTTCAATGCGTCGGAATTACCCAGATATTCAGAAAATCTTCTGAATAATCGGAAGAAGGCTTATCCACGTCCTTCTCTGTGACCCTCCTTTTCCAGGATTGTACGACCCTAAATCAGCGCAGGGATCAGAGGAAGGATGCTGAAAGACCACAGATTATTTTACGGGTATCTGAATAAAATAATTTTAAAAGCAAACGCTCACTAGTGATGATACCATGGATGCACACTCACGTGCACGCTCGGGTGCATGCACACACAGTAACTAGCTTGGGCCTGGCAGTCGGAGTGAATGGGACTGAAAGTTTTAGTCACTACTCAGCCACTAATTACCTGTATGACTTAGAAGAACTCGTTGAACCTTTTCTGGGCTCAGATTGTAACACCAAAGCAGGATTCAATACATATTTATTGAAGGCCTAATACCACTCCAGTTCTGGGGAGAGTTAGGAAGGAGTAAAACCCAGGCTCTGTCTTCAAGGGTCTAATAGATGAACTGAGCCACGGTGATAGAGTCAGACAATGATAGATGTCCCCGCTTGGCAAGCTGAAGGTGCTGAGCGAAGCTGGGTCTGCCCCTGGAGCTGTTACACACTGTGGCTGTGGCAATGGCTAGAGCCAGCTGCTTGCAGGAGATGTGTTTTATTTTAAGCGAACACTTCCAGGACACCTGGGTGGCTCAGTCATTAAGCGTCTGCCTTCTGCTCAGGTCATGATCCCAGGGTCCTGGGATTGATTCTCGCATTGGGCTCCCTGCTCAGTGGGGAGCCTACTTCTCCCTCTGCCTGCCAGTCCTCCTGCTTGTGCTCTCTCTCTCTCTGACAAATAAATAAAATCTTCTAAAAAATAAAATAAAAAATAAACACTTCTTTATTGGAACACTCTCTGCCAGGCACCCTTCTAAGCACTTTACACATTTTCACTCAGGGAATCCTTATCAAACTTCTCTGGAGTATCATTTACTCCCTGTTCTGCTGATGGGGATAATCCTGGGAGCACAGAAGGGTTGAGTAACTTGCACACAGTCACCTGCTAGTAAGTGACAGAGCTGGGATTGGAATCCGGGTGATCTGGCCCCAGAATCCATACAGATAACTTATTTTATTCAGAGACCGAGGAAATAACCCACATTCTTTGAATATTCTCTCGCAGAGCACCTGAACTATTTTAGGGCCATGCAAACACTAGTCTTCCTGGGGAAAAAAAGGATTTCAGGGAAAAAAGGAAGAAAGTGAATTTACATCTCCCAATTTGCCAGATGATTCGCTTAATGTCTGGATGTCAGAAAGACATCCAGACAGAGCGACAGCACATATGAAAGCATGGAATTCTAGGAAAGCAGGGAACGTCCCAGGGATTGCAGTATGTCTGGGGCTCGGGCTCGTGTGGGAGGGACAGGAGTTGGCTGTGGGGGTGGGCAGGAACCTGGTAAGGAAGGGCAAAGGAATCTGGATTTTATCCCGGTGGCCATGTGGAACCCCTGGAACATTCCCAGCAGGGGTGTGGCATGGCCTGAGTGTTCCAAGTCACTAGTACTCTGTCCCAAACTACCCCAGAATTTGGTGGCTTGACCCAACCTTTTGGCAATGATTACAAATTCTGTGGGTCAGGAAATGTCTGGAGACTCAGCTGGGAAGTCACAGACCGTGGCGGCTGGAGCAGCTGGGGCTGAGGGTTCACGTCCAGAACGGTGTGCAGGTCTGGTACTTGAGAGCTGGCTCAACCAGGACCATTCCGTAGACCTCTTTTTAGCAGAAAAAGAAATAACAATTCTGCTGAAATCTGCTTCCAAACTCTTCTCGGGCACTGTTTTAAGCACTTTACACATTTCCGCGCATTTCGCTCCAAGAAATTCGTACACCAACTGGGATGGCACCTTCTGGCCAAGACTGGCATTGTGGCATCAACGGTAGAAAGAGAGATTGTGCTTGAAGCTCTGTGTCTTTGAACAATGTCTTGACCTCTCGCAGCCTCGGGCTCCAAAATTAGAAATGCTACCTATCTCATTTGTCTATGTGTAAGGATTAAGCGAGAGGATATGTGGAAGGCACTTGATGAATGGCAACTGAGTGAGGAGGTTTTTCATCCCAAGCGATCGAAAGTCAACACGGGGGCACCTGGGTGACGCAGTCAGTTGAGAGACCAACTTGGTTTCGGCTCATGTCCTGATCTCAGGGTCATGGAATCAAGCCCCACATCGGGCTCCGTGCGCAGCACGGAATCTGCTTGAGATCCTCTCTCCCTCTCCCTCTGCCCCTCCCACTCATGCTGTCTCTCTCTCTCTCAAATAAATAAATAAATTGGAAGAAAGAAAGAAAGAAAGAAAGAAAGCCAGCACACATTTAGCTTTCAGGATAAAAAAAAAAGGAATGTGTGGCTATGATGACTGTTTGATGTATCAGCCTGGAGAGGCTGAGTGTTAGTCTCCAGAATCCCCTTTCCCGTTTGTTCCCACTGAGGCTGGGCTGCCGGTGATGATCGCTGTCAAGAGCTGTAGGACAGCAGGGAGGCCACAGCCAGTCCCTAGCAGACTCACACCTTCTCCAAGGCGTTCAGCCAAACACTGATGTAGGTGCTGTGGTGAAGGAATTCCGCAGGTGTGGTGAAAGCCCCTAATCAGTTGCCTTTATATTAGTCAGTGGGAGGTTGTCCTGGGTGGACCTGGCTTCATCAGCCAGAAGAGACAGCCCGAGCAGCTGCTAGGCTGACAGATGCCCTCCCTTCCCTCTGGATCTTCCTTCTTCACTGCAACCTGTGGACGCCTAGCTTTGCCCCGACCCTGGGCTTCCAGCCTGCTTGTGATCCTCTCACCCCGAGCGCCTGCCTTGCAGCCCCCAGGCTCGCTGAGCCAGCCCCTACAGTTAACAAATCCATACCTCTCTCTATCTACCGTCTGTCTATCATCTATATGATTCTGCTAGTTCTGCTTCTCTGCTTGAACCCCAACTGATAAAATGGGCTCAAATTATGTCAGTGAGTCATGTAATCAATTAATACCTCTCTGTCTCTTTCTGTGTCTCTCTCAAGCTCCATCTCAGCTCTGCCGGCCTCTGTGTGTGGCTTCATTCTGTCGGCTGGTTCTCCCCAGGTGGGGAGGAAGATGGGCTCTGAACAGCCCAGACTCACATCTTCCCAAGCGAGCCCGGCAGAAAGACACGTCTTTCTCTCCAAGGGTCCTCTTGGATCAGTAGTGACTGATCCGGGGCACTGTGGCTGCGTACTCAATTTGACCAGGCCTGTGATGAGAGGGATTCTGGAAATGATTGCCCCCTCCAGCCTAGACGATTGGGTAGAGGTGCAGCCAGACAGGAGCCTGGGGACGCATGCTAGACAAACGGCTGTAGTCACCACAGTCTACTCTGAATGACAGTGAGCGGGCTTCTGAATAATTAACCTTCTCAGTCACTGACCTTGACCTACAGGAGTCATGTGTTTGGATTTCCTTCCACGGGTTGCCTTTCCCAGAAGCAACATACTCCTATGAAATCGTTAAGACAGAGCCCAGCCTGGTTGGTCCCCACATCTCACAGCACTTCTACCCAGCAGTGTGATCTTGGCCAGAGCACGTCATCTCCCTGTGCCTCCATTTACCCATGTGTGTAATGGGAATAGCCATGCCCAGCCTTCCCACTCCAGAAGACCAGGAGTGTAGACTTAGACCACAAGTTAGGACAGGAGTATAATTTCCCTGCTCCCTCTATGAATGGGACTTCTCATCCTCCTTCCCCAAACGACGTCTGCCCTCCCTACTGCTCCCCAAGAGACCTAATGCTGTAATGTTTGCAGAGGACCATGATGAGGGAAAGAAAATTTGTAAGGCCAAGGGTAACCAGAGAAATAAAGGTGTGGGTCCCCTGCTCTCCCAAGGTCCCAACGAGAGGCACACTGGGGCCAGGGTGCTCTGCTGGGCTCAGAGTGGGCTGCTGTTCTACCCTCCGTGGGTGTCCTTTTGTAAATTTAATAGGGTGGGCATGATGGTAATGGTGGCAGTGGAGAAATAATCAGACCAGGCTGTCTCGATTTGGACACCAGCTGTTTACAGAAGTACTTGGAAAGCTAGTGCTCTCAGGAAGTCACCCCCGTGGGGACAGGTGATCGTGGCAG